TATATTTCTCTAAAAATCTGTGTTGAAGATTATTATCTTATTATTCAAAAAGAAATTTTAGAGTGTAGAAAAATTTGTCAGTGATTGAATACTAATCTCATGGCAGTAGGAATTTTAAATTCTTTTCCTTCCTACTCTGAATCAAAACAAATTCATTCACCATTTTCAAGTCAGTTCCAATTGGGCTTTTTAAAGACTCTCCATAAGAACAAAAGACTGCCCATCTTTCTCCCACAGAGTCATTGGCTAGCTTTTTAATTACCAGTGCAATATGCCACCAAAACTCCAGGCAACCTAACCTAATCGCTTGTATAAGTGCATATCCTGTCACTGTCTACTATCATCATCATTATACCTCGTATAACATTGTATATTCAAAATTGCTTCCTCAATGTTTTATTGGAAGTACTTGCTAGGGCAATACAATAAAAGAAAAAAATAAAAGCCATCCAGATCAGGAAAGAGACAAACTATCATTTTATGCAGATAATATGATAGTATACACAGAAAACACCATCAAAGACTCAACCAAAAAACTGTTAGTTAGCAGGCTTATTTAGTAGAATGGCAGGATATAAGATCAATATACAAAAATCAGTGGGATTCCTCTATGGTAAAAAAGAGAATTCAGAGAAAAAAAAATCAAGAAAGCAGTATCATTAACAATAGCCAACCACAATTTGAGATACTTGAGTGTGAACCAAACTAGAGACACAAAAGACCTACACAAACAAAACTACCGAGCACAATAAAAGACCTAAAGAAATGGAAAAGTGTGCCCCTGTTCGTGGATAGGAAAACTCAATGACAATCCTATCAAAAGCAATTTGCATGTTCAATGCAATCCCAATACAGATAACAAATTCCTTTTTCAAGGAGATCGAAAGGGAAATTGTCAAGTTTATTTGGAGAGAAAGAGACCCCAAATAAGCAAAACACTACTGAGAAACAAGAACGAAGTGGGAATCAAAGCACTGTCCTACCTCAAAACCTACTATACACATGGGAAGTAACCAAAACAGCATGGTACTGGTACAAGGACAGGCACATAGACCAATGGAACAGAAATGAGAACCCAGAAATAGACCCAACTATATCTATGGCCAACTGATATTCAACAATAAAATACAACTTATCAAATGGGGGAATGATAACCTCTTCAACATATGGTGCTGGCAAAACTGAAATTCTGCCTGCAGAAAGCTGAAACAGGATCTACATCTGAAACCATAGGCAAAAATCAACTCAAGGTGGATCAGAGACCTGGGAATAAAGCCCAAATTGTAAAGTTCATAAGAGACAAACTGGGACCAAGCTTAGAAGGCCTAGTCTATGATATAAAGAGACTGCCAAATATAGCCAGGAATGCACAACCTGAAGAGGATAAAAATGTTGAATGGGACCTTTTAAAGATTAAATCCCAGTGCACATAAAAAATCTTTCCAACAGAGTGAAAAGAAAACCTACCAACTGGGAATAAACATTTGGCAATACCATCTCACACAAGAGTCTCATAACAAAGTTTAAAGAATATGCTTGGGTCTCCAGAAAAAAAAAAAAAAGACTGATAACCCAATTACAAAATGAGCAAAAGACTTGAAAAGAATTTTCTCAGAGGAAGATATTTGAATGGTAAACAGACACATGAAGCAATGCTCAAAATCACTGGTATAAGAGAGATGCAAATCAAAACCACAGCGAGATACCATATCACTCCAGTAGCAGTGGCAAAGTTTAACAGGACAACAAGTAATAAAAGTTGGAGAGGATGTGGCGAGAAAAAACTCTCATACATTGTTGGTGGGGTGGTAAAATCGTATAAACACTCTGAAAGGCAGTTTGTCATTTCCTCAAAAAGCTGAACATCGAAATTCCATATTACCCAGCTATTCCATTGCTTGGAATATACCCCAAGAAAATGAGAACTGAGGCACAAACTGAGATTTATACACCTATGTCCATAGTTTCATTATTCACCATCACAAGAACATGAAAACAACCCAGATGTTCAACCATAATCAAATGAATTGAGGAATTATGGTACATTCACACAATGGAATACTATGTAACATGCAGGAGCAATGATTTAGTAAATTACTATCTAAATTGGGAGGCACTGGAGAGGCATTATGCTGAGTGAACTAACTCAATCCCATAAGGACAAATACTGTATAAAACCGTAAGTGTAGAATGAGTATAAAGACCCAAGAGGGATGTGGGGGTGGAAGCAGAAGGGTGAGGATGTGCAGTGGTGTAGGATTAATCATGAGGTTGCACAATTTGATGGGTGGGGAGGGTGAGGGAAATGGGAAGGATCTGGTGTGAAAACATGTTTGAATTTTATAAATAGACTAGCATAAAAATAATGTAAAAGAGAATGTATATGAATGATTATATGAAGTATAATGTAAATTAAATTCTTTAAAATATTAATGAAATATGCCACAAAGGTATTATTTATACTACAAAGGTATTATTATATGAAAATAAATTTTAAAAAATTTGAAATATGCTTCCTACTGGCCACTTCCTCTGCTCTGCAGCATACAGGAATCATGTCTACCTTCATATCTATTATATCTAATACACAGTAAAAGTTTAATAAACATTTGTTAATTGAATGAATGAGAATATCCAAGACTATTTCTGCCCTTGAAGCTATAACAAAATTGATAAAAACCTCTATGACCAATTAATCATTTAAGTGGCCATCGTTTTCATTTCATATATGGTAACTTTGAACACTTGGCAAGCTGAGAGAACAATCCTAATCAGGTCATGAACTCATTGACCAGACTTCATTTACTGGATCCCCAGTGTCTGCCAGTCCCCACTCTTTGGCATGACTGACAAGTACAGTACCTAGATGACCAGTGGTCTTTATTTGGAGTGGAAGAAAGAGAAAAAAAAGTTGCTGCTGTTGACGACTTGAGTACTACTATTTTTTCTGAATAATGATGTTTAAAAGGTATAAAATTTGACCAGGAGTTTGTGTTGATGTATAAAATGCAACTATTATTGTCCTTGCACTTAAGCCCATGTTCTACCAATTTCTAGGTTTTTTACACTTATTAATTTACCTCCCGAAGCCACAGGTTCCATTTATAAAATGGGAATAACAATGATACCTATTTCATAGATGTATTAGGGTTAAACGACAAATACATGAAAAGTGCCTAGAAAAATGCTTCGCTATAAATGTTCATAAAAGGTCAAACTGTAATGTTATTAGTGGTAATGGTGTAAGATTCTCCCTATATATTTCCTATTTCCCACTGGTCTGACCTGTGGAATCCATAAGGACTCCGCCACCCATTTCCTGCTATGGATCCTGACTTTTGTGGAATAATGTTTGTTTATCCAATCGGGGGGAGGGGGGGAAATGGTGAAGAAATGAATGAATCATTAATGTTTCATGAAGTTTGCTACAAATTAATTAATTACTTTAGTCTCAGAGAAAGAACTTTATAATTTTTACTTTATTTCTTGCAGGAAGATTATAGAGGAATTTTTTTATTTTCTTCTTCTCAGAAAATGAATTTCACCACAGAGCAAATAGGAAGCAGATAAATTGGTCTTCAGCTCGTTTCTCTATAGCCTGGGAAAGGAAAAAAAAATAACGTCTTGTGCAACAAAAGAATAAAATGTTCTAAACTTAGTCATCAAAAGTCATGTGTTTAAGGGAGCTCTGGTGGCCTAGTGGCAAGAAGTTACACTGCAATCCCAGAGGCACGTAGTTCAAATCCACTAGATGCTCTGCAGGAGAAGGAGGAGCAATCTCTTACTGTATCAGTCATATCCGATTTGATGGTACATACAAAAATAATAACAATAATAATAATTAATAATAATAAAAATATGTTTAAAAAACAGTGAGTGACCTCCTATAGATTCAAATCTACCCTCTGCAGAGGAACCAGGTCTTTCTCTTTTGACATCATATATTACATGCTTGAGTATGTCAGCATTTGTTCAACAAGTTTGTGTTATAAATCTTACACAAACTTTAGAGCAGGTAGTTGATACTGACGACTGGGCCACTAGACAGTATCATGATAGATGGAGAGAAGATTAAAATTGTCAATGATTTCATCTTGCTTGGATCTACAAGCACCATCCTTGGCACTAGCAGTCAAGAAATCAAAAGTCATGTTGCATTGAAAAAAAAAAATCTGCTGTCAAGGACCTTGCTAAGGTGCTAAGGAGCAAAAGATGTCCGTTTAAAGAATAAGGTATGTCTGATTCAAGTAATGGTCTTTTAAATTATTTGTTCTCATCTGAAATTTGGACAATGACTAAGGAGGACAGAGGAAGAATCAATGCCTTTGAGTTGTGGTGCTGGAAAAGGGTACTGAATATTCCATGGATTGCCAAAAAAGCTAATAAATCTGACTTGGAGAAAGTACAACCAGCATCCTTCTTGGAGGCAAGGAAGGTGTTCTTTTATGTCACACAATTCAGGAATGTTGTTAACAGGGGCCAGTCCTTGGGAAAGGACATCATACTTGAAAAGGTACAAAGTCTGTAAAAATCGCCAACTAGATGGATTGACAGTGATTTTAACAAGGGCTTCAAGTCTTTCAGAGATGATAAGGATCACACAGGGCAAGGCAGGGTACAGATCCCTCGTTCATCGCATAGCTATGAGTTGTAGTCAACTGAATACCAGCTAACAACAACAAATTCAGGAACATATTGTTCCTTGCATATGTGAAAGTGGCAGCCAGTCTCCAGGAAATCAAGACTTGTCTGTAAACCACAGCTCACATAGAGTTACTCTTTCACTATCAATATCCAGAGTTGTGATCAACTTTCCAGTACAGACAACTGAGTGCAGTGTCAGAGAGACAGAGAACTGGTTACCATGCGGCTGTTGAGAGGGATAAACAGAAATTAACATTGAAGCATAAGGGAGGTGGGCAGGCAGAGAGATCAAATAAGCTGCAAATACACTCCTCATTTGGTGGAGAGTGGAGATGTTACCTTTGGTGCTTTTAACTTTATGTTTCTGAAGTAGCTTGGCTTTTGGCTTCTAGTTTTGGACCCTGAGAGAGAAAGGAAAAAATATATAAAAAGAAAATTTTATTAAATTTAGAGATGTATTTTAGAGATGTATTTAGAGATGAATTTTTTAAAGTCAAGTCACTCATAAATTTTACAAGTACATGATAAAAATTCTCCTTGGGAGCTTGAGAAAAGATCCCCAAAGGTGGTTGTAGATTTGTTATTTTTAATTGTTTTTGGCTTTAAGGTTTTTTTAACATGTACATAAGATCTGCTGTTGTTACATATTGTGATGGGAAAGTCTGCTGTTAGGGACCTCTCTAAAGTACTCAAGAGCAACGGTGTCTCTCTGGAGACTAAGGTGCGTCTGATACAGGCCATGGTCTTTGCAATCACGTTATGCATCAGAGAGTTGGGCAATGACTAGGGAGGATAGAAGGAGAATTGATGCCTTTGAGCTGTGGTGCTGGAGAAGAGTATTGAATGTACCATGGACTGCCAAGAAAACAAACAGATCCACCCTAGAGAGGGTTAAACCAGGCTGCTCCTTGGAGGCAAGGATTCTGGGGCTTCGTCTGACATACTTTGGACATGTTGTAAGGAGGGACAGGTCTTTGGAGAGGGACATCATGCTTGGTAGGTTGGAGGGACAGCGCAGGAGGGGAAGACCCTCTATGAGGTGGATTGGTTCAGTGACTGGGGTAATCGGGATGGGTGTGTCAGAGGCAGTGCGATTGGTTCAGGATAGAGCAGGGTTTAGGGCTGTTGTACATACGGTCGCTATGAGTCGCAAACGACTCGACGGCACATAACAACAACAACATCATATCTACCTTTTTAGGGTCTCCACATACATACTCAGGAGAAAAATGTTAGGTAGAGATTTATGCACTTTAATTAAGTTAAAATGTACTGTAAAGGTACAAATAATATATTTTAAAATTCCTGCAGAAGAATACTCATTTAGGAAGGCAGAGCCTCATAAAGCAGAATTAAAACCATGTGTGCACATGTGTGCATGAGTGTTGCTGTAGCTTGTTTGTATTAATTTTGAGTGAATTTCAAGGACAGTGGACGTTTCTGGGGAAAAGAAGTGTGGAAATCCACTGGAGCAGCATTCAGAAGTAACTGAGGTTTCTTGGATCACCCCTACTCCAGATTCCATAGCCGCTACAGTAAGAACCAACAGCGGATGTTTCTCTCCTCCTTACTCCTCTACTACCCTGAACTTCCCCTCCCTGACTTCACACACACACACACGTGTTCTCAGCTAACAGCTATTGAGACAAGGCATGGGAAGGGGAAGTAGTCACAACCATGAAGGGCTCCACTGCCTTATGTCTGCCTTCTCTTCCTTTTGTAGCTAATGTGCTTTACAAGTTCATTTGAAAATGTGTTTTATGAAGATACGAGGTGATTCTAATCAGAACATTATAAAGATAAATGGTAGCATTCAAAAGTAATTGCCATCACCCTCATTTATGGATATTGAACTGCAGCTCTGTTTAAGTTACATGACCAAGAATTCTGGGAACGAGACCAAGGTCTTCCTGACATCTTTTCCTACACTATGTAGTCTGTTACCAAGGAGACAGTGCCAAAGGCCTACCTGAGAGATGCCTGCATTTTAATTATGTTCTCAAATGTAGACCTTGTTGACATTGCAAGGGAAGGAAGCGGGGTCTGAAAGGGAGTTCTCTTTTATTTCATATCACCAGCATTACCAGTTGAATTTTCATGGAAAAGAAATGTTGCTACCTCCTCATTGAAGCAGGCTTCAGGCTCCTCTGCTTTGCAGCATGTCTCCACCACATTAGTGAAATGTGTAAGCAGTAACCGAAGCTCCTGATCTGTATGTTGAGGGTTCAGCTTCACTAAGTCAACAAGAAACCTGCATCCCAGAAATGTCATCACACAGAATCAGTGACCAAGACAGAAACACCTTCAAAACTTGTCACATAATCACACATGTTAAAATCTCATTTCCTTGGAGAGAACATCATACTAAGAAGGCTTGGGGATCAGTGCAGGAGAGGAAGACTCTGGATGAGATAGATTGACTCAGTGACTGAGATAATGGGGATGCGGGTATCAGAGACAATTAGATTGGCTCAGGATAGGACAAGATTCAGAACTATCGTACATAGGGTCACTATGAGTTACATGTGACTTGAGGGCACATAACAACAAAAAAGAGTCAAAATATTACTTTTGTGAGAGATTCTCCTGAAACTTTGCTTTTAAAGCTTTGGGATAGGTCCATGGTATCATGTTTTAGAGAATCACAACAGAATCATAAAATATGAGCATGTATAAGTCCTTATTAGCTAACCTCCATAGGCCTCTAAGGCTGCAAACCATAATAGGAGGAGATTACTCATCTTTCCCCAGTAGTGAATTTGAACTTTTGGGGATATGCTGCCTTTGGATTCACAGTGCAACTTACGACTGGTGACTATGCCACCAGAGCGCCATCATTATGCATAGTGCTATAGAGTATTTAACTACATTCAATATTTTTAAAGGGCACTCTAGTTGTCTAGCAGTAAGAAGCTACTTTGCAAACCTAAGGGAATGCAGCTCAAATTCACTAGTTGCTCCATAGGAGAAGGGTGAAAAATCTTCACTGGTGCAATTTACAGCTTTTGAAAACCCACTGGAAAGTCAAGTTATGAGTCAGTTCTAATCCCATGATGACAACAATAAAAAATTAAATATAAAACAAACTCCAGCCCCCTTTCTTGAATGTTGTTTCCATGCCACTTGGTGGAGACATTGCCTAAATAAAAAAACAAAACTAGGTCTTGTTTCTTGGCATTAATATAGCACTGTCCAAGAAAATAAAGTAAAATTCTGATTCTTTTGGGATCTCTGCTTTTTTCCAAATGTAAGGGAGATTCTCAAAGCAAACACCTGCATCATTCTGTGGGGAACACACATAGTGAACCTGTGCTTGAGCCATTCTACTGACTGTCCTTGATCACTTTACACATCATAGTCTGGGAAGCCCTCCAACCTATTTGTTGTTATGTGCCATTGAGTTGCTTGCAACTCATAGTGACCCTATGTACAACAGCCCTGAAATTTCCTCAATCATGTGCCAACTTTATTGTCTCTGACACACCTACCCTTATTACCCCAGTCAGTGCATCAGTCCATCTCATCAATGATCTCTCTCTCTTTCTCAGTCCCTCCACCCTTCCAAGCATGATGTCCTTCTCCAAGGACTCCTTGTAACATGCCTGGAGCCTGGAGTATGTCAGACAAAGTTTAAGAATCCTTGCCTCCAAGGAGCAGCCTGGCTTCACTCTCTCTAGTATTTAGCAAAGGAAAGTATCACATAGAGGGGTTTTTTTTTGGTTTTTTTTTTTACAAGGCCAATAAACATTTTCTCAAATGAGAGAGATTGGGCTATCTGAAAGGAGAAAACAGGAGTTGTGGCACTAAAAACACATATCCATTACAACAAACCTCACCAGTTCATGATTTGACTTCAAGCTGAAGAAAAAGACAAATGGAGGAGGATATTTGTACCTGTTCTTCTTTTCCTGGAGTACTCCATTTTGTGCCTGACACAAGTCTGCATGAAAGGTAAATAAACCTTGAGAAGTCGAAGGAGGCACGTATGTTTTATCACCTTCTAATTCCTCAAAGCAGTGTCTTCTGAAAGCAAAGCTGGATGTACAGCACTGGTTTATAGCAGCGTTGATAGTTTGATTTTTATTTACTCCACATAACTCTCCAAGGACTGAATTCATCTGGACCAACAAAAGAACTCAGATATTATTTTAAAGTTAGGCTGGTGTTTTGGAGTTAGATGAATAGTCAGATTACTTTACAACCACTCTTCATTTTACTGAAAAGAAAAAAGCCAAACCCACATACCTTCACAAACACCATAACTACACACTCTACAAAGTAAGTGAGAGGCTGGGTTTCTGATAGTTTTATGATAACATTAAAGTCAAGTCAGTTTTATAGTCTGTTTGATTTATCAAAACAACTGATTGATCAAAACAAGAACATATAGTTTACATATAGTGAAGTTGTAACCAAGAGCTGACAACTGAGACAGTCACTAAATGTGTTAATGAAACACTATGAAGCTTGAGCTTATTCTCCTTGGGAGTCTGTCACGCTCTTCCCGTCCAAACACTAAGGAGCTAAACTCAGCAGTTAATGGGCTAGCAGTAACTATTTTATTCCTCTAGTAAAGGAGGAAAGGGAATTTATAACTTTCTCTTTTTTTTATTAGAATGTTTCCTATATAGTTTTGAAATAATGTAGAAATAGTTATATTATTTTCCAAATTATTTTATATGTACAAAAATAAGAAAGATTATTTGAACATTCACATGAAAATATCTGAGATACTCTTTACTGCTTCTTAAGATTTTGATGAAGTGAGCCAAAGGAAAAAATGTCATGCTCTTTGCTTGATGACGTTGAAAATGAATGACGAGAGATGGAAAGGAGAAAGGCTGTTATCCCAATAAACCAATGACTGCCAACATATTTCCCCCCTTTTTGTGTATCATCAAGCTGGATCCCACTGACAAAGGAGGAGATTACCCTTCCTTCTCCAGTGGACAATTTGGTGGATTCAAACCATGCACCTTTGCAGCTCAGCTTCTTGCCACTAGGATACCAGAGCTCCCATTTCCAATCTATCTTTTTTTAATGTAAATTAATTTAATTGTCATGTATCATATAGACAGAAGTGACTAAGGATTTGCAACAACCTGGGCTCTAGAATTCCTTGATTGTTCTGTCTCTTTTTCAGACTCTTGTCCACCTACCCCTCTCCCAATCAATAAGTAACTGTAAAAAAATGGGCAGCCTTATCTGTCATTAATTTCTCAAAGTTGTTATTGCATAGATTTTCTTCCGTTGCCAGTATCTTTTAAGGAAAATCAAATATATGAGACATGCTTACCAAATTGTCAACGCAGGCAAACTTCTCACTCTGAGCACAGCACATGTCCAAAACTGATGCAACGTCTTCGCTGAGCATGGTCAACTCTTCAGTAGAAAGCTGGGGGGCCATCTTAGTGAGTTTGACAAGGTAGCTGAAAGAACATTTTTCTATGATTCTCAATGAATGTTCCGTTGTCCAGCTACTTGGACCTATAACTCATCATAGTTATACACAGCCAATATAAATCCAATGTGAGCCTCAGTGTTAATTAAATGGTAGAGAAGTGTCTGCTCACCTCCCATTTTCCTGCATCATGCACTCTATATTTTGACTTTCTGTTTAATCTCATGGTAATCTCACAAACTCTCACATTTGGCTGTGAACATGGAATGTCTTGGCAGTAAATACTTTGGCTAGTCTATAAAATCCTGCTTGAAATCTTTTGGGTACTAAACAGACATTTTAGGAGAAAATACAATGCTTTCATGTTGTAAAGAATTTTCAACTAATAAACTAGTTGGCAGAAACAGTGAAAATACATCTTTTTAACTATCTTTTTCTTTTTTGCTAATGGTTATGTTTTCTTTTAATAAATTCTTCATTAAAATGAAAATTTATTTAAAACAACTATGAGATATCATCTCACCCCAGTCAGAATAGCAAAATTTAACAGAACAGCAAGCAAAAAATGCTGGCGAGTTTGTGGAGAAACTGGAACCCTTATTCACTGTTGGTGGGAGAGTAAAATGGTGCAACCACTGTGGAAGGCGGTATGGTGCTTTCTCAAAAAGTTGCAAATAAAGATACCATTTGACCCAGGAATTCCACTGCTGGGAATATACCCCAAAGAGACCACAGTTGACATCCAAGCAGATATATGCACACCCATGTTTATCACACCTTTGTTCACAATAGCAAGGAGTTGGAAATAACCCAAATGGCCATCAACAAACGAATGGGTAGAGAAGCTGTGGTATATTCACAAAAGGGAATACAAGCTGCATTGAAAAACAAGGAGCTCATGCAATACTATTCAAAATGGGTGACCCTGGAGGACATTATGTTGAGTGAAGTCACAAAAGGACATATGTTGCATGGTGCCACTGCTGTAAAACAGGACTGACATCAGGTTTGGGGGGAGACTGAGTAAGTTGGGTTCAATAATGTATATTGCATTGAAACAGATTAGGGAGAAAACTGTTTAAAAGGTATATGTGATTAGGTATTTTTGTCATAACAGAAGTCCAGAGTGAAGGCTGCATAGTGGAGTGGACCTGAGGGAGGGTTTGGAAAGCAATGAAAGAATTTTTCTTTTACATTTCCAAGAGGGTAGTATACTAGGGGGTTGGGGGGAGTTGGGAGGGGAGAAAAGTGCAAAAATGAATGAATGGAAATACAAAGTCTCTGAAAATTCTCATTGAAATTAATAATAAATTTCTAAAAAGTGATAATTGAGAAAAGTTAAATAAACCTGTTATTAACCATCAATATTTATGAAAACACTAATAAGATATGCAGGAAGTAAGCAAGTTCAGTATTAATTTTACAAACTATTAAAATGGGACTAGATCCTGAACAACTGTCTCCCAGGAAACTGTAACAACCACCAGCTTGTTCCATCCTGGTGGAAGGATTCAGGGAAATCTGAATGCAATTTGATGTTAAGAAAGGCAAATGCAAACAGAAACTAAAGTATCAGAAAAGCAATTTGTCCAGAGTCGTAACTTCATTTCTTTATTACTTGCATGACCTTTCATTTGATCCTCAGTTCTAGGGATGGGTTAATGTGACAACTCAATGTCTATCCCTGTCTTTTGCCTGTGTTTTTATTTCTTTTAGGGTTTATAAACTGCCAGTAGCTCAAAGATTGAGTTGTTTGTTTGTTTGTTTGTTTGTTTTACTCTAGATGAGACCCTATTTATCCTAGTCACAATTAACCTGCTTTTGTAAACAACTTACTGGTATTTCAAGTCATCCTTCCCCAAATTCTGAAAACGTGCACATTCTTGATTTACCATCTGGAGGCTTTTCTCAGTTGTCTCATTGAATTTTTCTTCCTGAACATAAGAACAATCATGCTTATGAGTATTTTATCCAAGATGAATGCACAAGCTTCATGCTGACTTGTCAAGCATCTTTATTTATTTATACACTATGTTCACCATAGATATCATCCACATCTTATTAAAATGGAATATATTTTACATGTGTGTATACAAGACAAGTCTTTTTAATAATAGATAAACTCTTATTCTCTTAGCCATCGAGACAGAACAGACTCATAGCTCAACCTCTAGCAGACTTTTAGAGGTTGTAAATCACAGATGAGGAAATTTTCCACCTTTCTTCTGAAGAGCTTCTGGTGGATTCCAATCACCAGGCAGGCACAACTCCTTACAGACTACATCACCAGAGCTCCCTATCTATATAATAGAGATATGTTTTTGCATAAATTCAAATATGAATTTCATTGTTATCATTGTCTTATATATTTTTCTATAGCTTTTCAGTTTACAAAACATAATTCAAATCTTACACTGAAAATAACTATATTGAATTTTCACTCTGAAGGGGCAGCTGTGAACTTTATTTTTAAGTAAAAGAAATATTAAGTTTAACTTTGAAGTTAGGTTGACTTGCCCAGAATGTTCCACCTAGTGAGTATTGCCACAAAGCACTGTTATTTGTGTTGATCTCTATTTTATCCTTTCTTTTCTTCGATCAGAATCAAAACTGAAAATCTCAGATAAAACCTCCTCCCACCGATTCAGTTTCTACTAACATTAATTTCACACAGTTATCTTCAAATTATTGATGAATCCTCTCTCACAGGACATGGAATTGGACGTTTACTAAGTGTTCAATTAAATTCATAATCAATATCCATGGTAATTGTCGTTGTTATTTGCCATTGAGTCACCTGTGATTCATCACAACCCTATATGCAACAGCTTTGATTCTGATCCAGCCCTATTCTGGCCCAGTTTCACTGACTTCAACACACCTAATCCCATTGCCCCAGTTACTGTTTCAGTCCATCTCATCAGGGATCTTCCTCTCCTGTGCTGTTCCTCCATCCTTCTGAGCATGATATCCTTCTTCAAGGACCGGTTCCTTCTGGTCACATAACCGAAGTATATGAGACGGAGCTTCAAAATCCTTGCCTCCAAGGAGAAGCCTGGCTTCACCTTCTCTAAGACAGGCATATTTGTTCTCCTGGTGGTCCATGGTAAGTTCGATACTCTTCTCAAACACCTACTCTGCTCCTATGGCAGTAGGAGTCAAGTGTTTAAAACGCATGTTGCATTGGGAAAATCTGCTGGTCAGGACCTCTCCAAAGTGCTAAAGAAGAATAGCCATTTAAAGACTAAGATACACTTGATACAAGCTGTGGTGGTATTTTCAGTTACTTCGTATGCAAATTGAAATTGGGCAATGAATTGGGCAAGTTAAAGAATACTTAATGCCTTTAAGATGTTATGTGGAGAAGATTACTAAATATTCTGTAGATTGTCAAAAGAATAAGCAAATTTGTCTTGGAGGAAGTGAAGTCAGAGTGTTCCTTAGAGGGAAGAAGGATGATGTAACTTCATCTTAATTAATTTGGGCATATTTTTGGGAGGAATCTGTCCTTGTAGAGAGACATCATACTGAGAAAGAAAGAGCTTCTGTGAGAGAGAAGAGCCTTAACAAGGTAGATTGACACAGGGACTACAACAATTGGCGTGAGCATGGAGGATACTGTGAAGATGGGAAAGGTTTAGATCTGAGTCATAACTGATTAGATGACACCTAACATCATCACCACCACCATCAAGTAGTTTTCAGAGACAGAGTTCAACACTAGTGGATTCACACTATGGGACAAATTATTTCTCAGTTTAAAAAATAACAAATAAATTCTAGCAGTGTGGTCCATTTGAAAAGATGCAGAGATAAAGCTCACAAGGCAGGAAGGAATTTGAAGGATGGATGAATGGAAATAAAAAATACAAGCAGTAAGTAAGTTGAAGACTGCATTGTGAGTATTGTACTCAATATTATGAAACAAAATATATCTGGCATTATTGAACAGGATATTCATTTTCTCTGTAAATGTTCACTCAAATTTTTAGAAAGCTAAAAATTTAATGACAAAAAATTGCAGATTATTTTCATAATAATGTATTTTATATTAATCTTTATTTTATTAATATGAACAATGGCTTAAAAAAGCTTCCTCAGTGTCAGAATAGGAAATGAAACTCAAATCAGATCTACTTACACCTTTATCTAAGTCTAAATTATAATAATACGGTCTGAAAGTTGATTTTATGACAACTGGGAGATAATTTTAAAATAAAGGAAAAGCAACATATAGCAAAGGAAATAAAAATAAAATCAGAAACTAAAATCATTAATTTCTATTGTATATGAAGGAGTAGTTATGAACTGATTTTAAAACACATCTACTTCAGTAAGAAAGAGTAATAAACATGAACAAATTGTTAATAGAACTTTTGAAAATACAATATCCAAGATTTGATGAGAAAAATTGAACATTTGAAAATTTGAAAACAAATAATTTTTTCCTTAAGAAAAAAGTCAGCATTTTTACACATATATCTAGCAAATTTCCCACCTGCAGCTTTGAGAAGGTGGAGGTAAAATGCACATTCTCAAATGCTACTGTGGTCAACACACTCTGGAAAGTCACTCAGTAATTTGTGTCAAATATTTTTTCATGAGGCTATGTATTTTGTCCAATAGTTTCTCTTCTGATAATTTATCCTAAGAGGCAAAAATTGCAATAAGGATTAATTCAATACCAACTTTATGGTGGCCTAGAAAATTAAAAAACAATATGTTTTCAAAATGTTGAACACATAATAAGAGAGCAGTTCTTTTACATCATTATGAAGAATCAGCTCTAGTGACGTAGTTCATATTGAGTTGCATTGCCAACCTAAAACCAGTGCCTTTCTGGCAGTTGGAATCCACTAGTGGCTCCACTGGGAAAAGATAGGCAACCTCCTTCTGCACAATTTACAGTCCCCAAAATCTTGCTGCTACGTCAGCCATGAGTAAGTTCCCACTCAACAGGCTAGGTAATGATTCAATCATGTTATCAATAGAAGTCCCTGGAGAAAAACATTGTAGCCAGAAGTTGGAAAACCAGAAAAGAGAGAAACCCTAAAGAAATGGATTAACATAATGTTTGCAACAGAGGATGTGAGTCCAGCAGAGATTGTGAAGACCGTGCAAGATAGGTAAGACTTCAATATGTTGTTCACAGAATTGATGTGTGTAAGAGTTGACTCTGTGACATCTAACAGCCATCACAATGATAAGCTGTAACATCAAAAGTTCACTCCTGGCCATCAAGTCAGAAGCCATTCATCATTGACTCTCCAGCGGGTTTTCAGAAGCAATGTATTGCACAGGAAGAGACTGCCTGTTTTTCTCCCAAGGAAGAACTGGTGGGTTTAAACTGTCCACATTTGGATTGGCAGCACAACTTTCTGCATAGTAGGCCACCAGAGATTCCAAAGAAGCCACACAACAATACTTCGAAATATATTTTGAAGTCTATATAATGAAGTAAAATTTTGTATGATATTTAATAATTATAAATATTTCCTAAGAAAACATTATTCTGATTTTGCATTTAAAACACATATGTACACAGAAAAGAATGTAATGGTGTTAAATAGAGCTTTTCTTCAGTAATCTAATTAGAGTTTTACTTTTCTAGGTACGTTTTAAGCTTCTAATCATCTGCAATAATCATTTTGTGTTCTTAATTGTTGTATCTCACCAAGTTGAAACCAATTAAAATCATCTGCCTTAGGATTGGTAGTTGTTGTTGTTGTTGTTGTTACGCGCCATCGAGTAGCTTGCGACTCATAGCGACCCTATGTACAAGAGCTCTAAATGCTGTTCTATCCTGTGCCAATCTAGCCATCTCAAACGCACTTATTCCCAACGCTCCAGTCACAGAATCGATCCATCTCACCAAAGGTCTTCCTCTCCTTCACTTACCCTCCACTCTGCCAAACATGACGTCCCTTTCCAAGGACCAGTCCCTCCTTGCAACATGCCCAAAATATGTCAGATGAAGCTTCAGAATCCTTGACTCCAGGGAACACTCTGGCTTCACCCTCTCCAGGACAAACCTGTTTGTTCTCCTAGCAGTCCATGGTATATTCAACACTCTTCTCCAGCACCACAGCTCAAAGGTATCAATCCTCTTTCTATCAGCCCTATTCATTGTCCAACTCTCTGATGCATAGTACATAATTGCAAAGACTATAGCCCTGATCAGGCACACCTTAGTCTCCAGCCTGACATCGTTGCTCTTCAGTGCTCTTGAGAGGTCCCTCACAGCCGACTTTCCCAATGCAATTCGTCTCCTGATTTTCTGGCTGCTGTTACCAAGAGTGTCAACTGTGGAGCCAAGTAAATTAAAACTGTTAGCTATCTCAATCTCTTCACCATCCATGCTGATGTTGCCAATTGGCCCAGTGGTTAGAATCTTTGTTTTCTTGATGTTCAGCTTCACTCCATATAGGAGGCTGTAGTCCTTGATCTTCTGCAGCAAGCACCTCAGGTTCTCCTCCGTTTCAGCAAGCAGGGTTGTGTCATCTGCATAACGCAGGTTGTTGATGATTCTTCCACCAATCCTGATAGTGCAACTCTTTACCCATTGGGTCACCAGGGCTCCCTCAATCATCATTTAGTACTTCTATAATAGAGAGAGAGCATTGGTGGCTTACTGGGTAAGGAGTTGCACTGCCAACCTCATAGCATGTAGTTCAAATCCACAAACTACTACTACTCTTCCAGTGCAATCCTCAGCCTCTGAAACCCCACTTGAGGGTCAGCAATGAGTTGGTTCTGACTCAACAGCATACAACACCACTTATATCATCACATAAAATCCCAGCAGACTGAATAAAATACTGAGTATAAAAACAAAACAAGTATATATAAGGTATTAGATGGAAAGTAATTTCATGATCGATATACACTGAAACAATTCAAAATATTAGATGTAAACTAAACTCATGATGGTGGTCTCCATAATGATCAACCACTATGAATATAAAGTGAATCAAGCTTAGTTATTTACCAGTTCTACTCCTTACCTATATTAAGACTTTTCTATAATTTTAAAATTGTTTTAATGTTTTCAGTCCATGATAATAGGTCTTACCACATGGCTGTAGCAATCTGAAGGGTTTTCTTTTCCACAACAATCTCCCCAAAGCTTCTCATACTCTTCAGCAATTCTTAAAAGCTCTGGTATAGAAAGATCTTGATGTCTCCTTGAGTATTCATAAAGAAACCTATTATGTGTAAATATTTTCTGTATTAGAGAACGAGCAAACTGCCAAATCTTGCTATCTTTTCTTTTTCTTTTCTCTTAGTCCATAGAAAGCCTTTTATTAGTCCTCACACAGACAAAGATGATGATGATGATGATGATAAAAAGTACTCCCCTTTATCATGTTGTGTAGGTCTGGTACAAATCAAGCACATAGCATCTACCAACTTGTTTAGTGTCATGTGATTTAATATCCATGACTCACGAGAAGCAACACAGCAAGTAAGTTACAAAAGCAAGGTTCTGAAGCTATACTGCCTTTAGTTCTTGACTTCACTACTGGAGTGTAGTGACTTTGAGAAAATTACTTAACCAATCTGTGTCTCCGTTTTCTTAACTATAAATAAGAATAATAGAAATAAAATAACTCATTTTGAAAATTTGTGAGTCCACAAGAAATACTTGAAATTTGAATTTTTAACTGAATTCATTGCCGTGGAGTTAGAACCGACTCATAAATGACCCTCCACTGGGTTTCAGAAGCTGTACATCACACAGAAGATTGCCTATCTTTCCCTCTCAGAGCCATTGGTGGATTCAAACCTCCAGAGTGATAATGTGTCTTTTATATAGGTGTACCAGTTATATAATGTTAGTCATTACTTCAATAAGCATTAATAAAAACCATAATAAAACAGGTATATTTTCTAAAAAGTATAGGAAAATATTTGCAAGTTTAGGAGTCTATAATAATTTTGTTATTGTTAATATAGCACATATATCCAATGTAAGTAATTTTTTGTCATTTTGTATTTTTCTTATGTATTTTAATATAAAATTACATTACTCAGTCATGAAGCTCTTTCGGTCAGCATCTCGGTGTTCACATACATCTTTGTTGTCCATAAATTTTGCATCTATTCCAGATAAGTTCTTTGGTGGCTCATCTTTATACATGTAAATGATACACTCTTCACGATCTGGAATTGTCATTTTACAGCACTCTCTGATTGTGCTGGAGGTAGAACTTTGTTTTGTACAAATATGACTCATAATTGTGTTCTGTATAAAATCAGAATGAAAAGTGATTTTATTTCCATATTTTAATCAAGACTGAATTTCCCTTTGTTATAGGTTAGTTACATGTTAAAACAACTTCCAACATAGTATTTGCAAACATTTATAATTCACAGATAACATTTGTTTAAATTTTGCATTTTATTACTCTACCCGAAGTTTCATAATTTATTTTCCAGCATTGAGAAGACATAATTATAAAAAAAGAAGTTTATTATAAATTTTAATTCACTCTTACACATTATATTTTATGCCAGCTCTCTGAAATATTAGGATCTTTTTCCTAAAGATGAAGTTATTTCTTTCCCATAAGAGTTCATATATATTGTTGTTGTTGCTGTTGTTGGGTGCTGTCAAGCCTTCTATAATTTTTAGCAACCGTGTAAACAACATATCTGAACCTTACTTTCTCCTAAGTCATTCTCACCATCTCTAAAATACATAAGCACACTATTGGGTGTCTTCCTCTCTTTTACTGATCCTCCACCATTCCCAACATGCATTCAATTTTCAAGGACTGACCCCTCCTGAAAGTTCATTTTTGCCATTAGTCAAATCAAAGCAAGGAGTTGAATACAGAATAAAGCATAAATTACTCATATGAAAGTTCAAATTGAAACTTAGGAAACTTAAGCCCACCAAAGCCAAAATACAATCCTAAGTTTATCTCAAATTAATTTCAAAATAATATTAAAATGGAGATTTGACACTTTCCTGTATCTTTCTTTGCTAAAATGAGAATAGCTCCCTCCAAACCAGTAGCAACATAGAAAGAAAGAACACAGTTGGCCTAGTGTACAGAAAGCCATGCTCCCAAACCAAAGGTGGATAACTCTGCTCTGCAGCCCTCAGGCCTGCCTTTACTTTTTTTTGGTGAAACATTCTTCTAGGTCGTGTAACCCTGGTATGTCCACTTGCTGTACAGAGGTAACTCATAGTTGCTCTGAAGCCAAACACTGCAACACTGGTGAATCAAATGCAAGAATGGTTACCCATGGTGGACAGTGTTTGGTGAAGCTCCCAGATTAAAACAAGCTTGGAAGCAGGAGTGGCATCCACTTCTACAATAGCTTGCTTCTGGAAACCCTATGAACCTGGAGAAAGGATGAAAGTTATACAGGAGATGTCCAGGACTTTCATTCATAGGGTCGCTATGAGTCACTTGCGACTCGACTGGACTTAACAACAACAAAACCAGTAATAGGAGAAAAGACAGATGCATGGGTCATCTGCCAACATCCACTGGAATTTGGAGAGCAAAATCTCCCTGGCAACATTCCTGTGATTTTGTCTATTCCTAGGGAATCTGCCTCCTCCCGTCAAACTACTGGACAGAACAGAAAAACTAGAGTCACTTTAGCTGGGCTTATGGAGAGACCACAGTTACCTGCCTCTCAGAAGATAACTGGAAGACTGCCAAAAAAAAAGTTAATAGAGCTGACCACAAAGGACAAGCAGAGAAGATTGCCATTTATAAACTGAATTAAGGACAGCACAAAAGTCTGCAACTCTATCAATAACATCATAAACAGAAGAAATTGACAACAATCTATGCAGACATAATAGAAACTGCCTCACACACACTGAGAAGAACTTCACATAATGTCAAGGAAGCAGTAGGCAAATTCAATCATTATAAAAAAATGAAACAAAGGTTGTCTTCTAAATAAGCAGATCAGATTGCATATCAGATCACAGATCCAATCAATATTCCAAAGACAGTGAGGCAGAAGAAATATATCTATGTGGAGTGATGTAAGCTGGTACTGAAAAAGATGGAAGAGTTGAACCTATAAATCATGATGTATAATAATGTAAAAATTATTATAAGACAGTAGGGTAAAACCAACATGTACTAGCACCAAAAGAAACGCAATCCAGAATATCAAGATTGATATAACAGGACTTTTCAATATGCTGGAGGTGCAAAAAAGCAGAATAGATGAGATGGAACAGAGAATCATTGAGCTAGAACAAAAGAAACTAAATTAAAACTTACTAGAAAAAAAAAAACACAGAGTAGGCAGAAAGAAAAAATTAGAATCATGTAGGTTAACATCAAAGGGAACATCATATGTATAATCAAAATTCCAGAACAGTAGGAGGGGGAAGGGAAAGCACTGAGGAAAATTGTGAAAGACATACTAGCAGGACACTTTCCAGGGGTCAGAAAATGAGGAAATCCACATTCAAGAAGCTCAGAAAATTCCAAGCAGCATAATAGAAAAACACCAAAACATATTATAGTAAAGGTTTCCAAAATCAAGGACAAGGACAGAATATTAAAAGCAACAAAGGAAAAGCAGTAATTAACAAAAGAGAACTAGGAAAGTAGACTAAGTTGTGACTTCTCTGCAGAAACCATGCGAGCAAGAACACAATGGGGTGGCATATACAGAAGGCTAAAAAAGTCCAAAATCACCAGCCCAGTATTTTATACCCAGCAAAGATGTCCATTAAATATTGAAGGAGAAATTAGGTCATTTCCAGAAAAGCAGGAACTTCAGGAATTCATGAAAGAAAGACCAACTCTACATGAAATACTAAGGGAGGTCCTTCACACAGAGAAAGCAAAGGAAAATAGATAGACCAAAGTAATCAGGAATAGCAGACAAGGAAACACAGAAATTTAGCAACAATGAGATAGAAATTGCCAATAATCATACTCAATACAAATGGCGTAAATGCATTGGCTAAGAGAAAAGGAGTAGCCGAATGGGTAAAAAAGATAAATCACATCAATATGTTGCCTATGAGAGACACATCTAAAAACTGAGGCAAAAGGCAGACTAAAAATAAAAGAAAGGGGAAAATATATACCAAGAAAATGGAATCTACAAGAAAATAGGAGCAGCAGTACTAATCTCTGATAAAATAGACTTTAGGAAGACGTGCTGCATGGTAGGAAGATACACTGTGTCCAAGGTACTTTGGGGGAAACACTGTTGTCTAGCTATAGCATGCAAGACCCCTTAAGCTCAAGTGGAAGGGACTGGGACAGCTCAAGCAAGGTGGAGACACCAGTTCTAGAAGGGAACAATAGGCTTTCTGGTTTCCCATTCAGATATTGTGGGGGAAGCACTGCTGTTTATCTACACCACCGGGACTCTTTAGCGCAACCTGAAGAAAACAGTACTGCTTGACTGAGGTGAAGACACCAGTTCTGGAAGGGAAGAGCAGGCTTCTTGACTTGACAATGAGGTACTTTTGGGGAAACACTGCTGTCTGGACAAAGAGGGAGCGGAAATATATATGTCCTTCACAAAGCATTGCCATACATTAGATCAATATATAGTTATAACAACCTAACATATACTAAAAAGACTCACATAATGTCAAGAAAGCAGCAGTTTGCTTCAGTCATAATGAAAAAACAAAGCAACGTTTCTAAAAAAGGGGACCCAATAAATACCCAGACAGAAAGAACCAGAACAAATATGTTTATGTGGAGTTACAATGAAATGTGCGGATGCAGTAAAAAAAAAAAAAAGGTCAAACCCTCTAAGCATTTCTTAAGCTATGAGAGAGAGAACAGTCTAAAAGTAACATATTTTAGGGCATTATGATTATCATAAGAGTTCGGAATGAGGGTTGCAGAGTGGAGTATACTTGGGGAGTTTTTCTTTTGCTTTTCAAGGAGAAGAGAGAACTGAGGGTGAGGGGGGTGGGCGGGGAGAAAAGTGCAACAATGAATGAGTGGAAATCCAAAATCTCTGTACATGTTCATTGAAACTAATAAAAATTTTTAAAAAGGAAAGTGAAAAACTAATTCAAGCCATGACTTACAATATTTAAGGATGCTTTAGGAAGAATATTAAATGATCCAAGAAATATTGAAAGAAGATGGAAGGAGTATACAGAGTCAATGTACCAAAAGGAATTGACTAACACAGAAGAATTTTATGAAACAACATATGAGCAAGGAAACACTGCATGGTTCAAAACTGAAAAGATTGTACGCCAGAGATTTGTCCAAAATCCATTCCTTTCTAATCAATATATGAGGAACAGATTATCTGGGAGGTCAGGCGCTATGAGGAGAAATGTGGCATCAGGAATTGAGGTAGACTCATCTGAGTTATGCAGATGACCCAACCCTGTTTGTTGAGACTGAGGAGAACCTGAAGCACTGGCAGCAGAATGTCAATTACATTCCAGTGTAATTTTCAAGATCTTGGTCTCTTCATTCTTTATCATTTGTTTATCTTTCATCATGGATGGAATTCTTTTTTTTTTTTCTTTTTTTGGCTGAGTACAGTGTACTTTATTGATGGCACTTGACAAAATGGGCTCTCCCCTTTCTCAGGGTGATTGGATGGAAACTGTGTCAAGGACGTGAGATTCTCAGTGTGTGGGAGGATAAAGATGGGGCAAGGACTCCCCAGCAGCTGAGGGTCTTTCTCCCTCTTCTAGTGCTATTGCTGGGGCTGGTGGTCCAAAGGGCTCTTACTCTTTGCAGGCCCTGTGAACCAACCATCAGGTCGATCACCCAGTTGCTGTAACCAAATTCATTGTCATACCAGGAAATGAGTTTGACAAAGTGATCAGTCAGGGCAATGGCAACTCCAGCATCAAAGGTGGAAGAGTGGTGTCACCATTAAAGTTACAGGAGACAACGTGATCTTCAGTGTATCCCAGGATGCCCTTGAGGGTCATCACATTTAGCAGCTTTCTCCAGATGGCAGGTCAGGTCCACATTGGGGGTGGAGACATGGAAAGCCATGCCGGTAAATTTCCCATTAAGTTCAGGAATGACCTTGCCCATGGCCTTGGCAGTGCCAGTACATGCAGGGATGATGTTCTGGGAAGCTCCATGGCCATCAAGCCACAGCTTTCCAGAGGGGCCATCCACAGTCTTCTGGGTGGCAGTGATGGCATGGACTGTGGTCACGAGTCCCTCTACAATGCAGAAGTTCTCATGGATGACCTTGGCCGCGGGAGCCAAGCAGTTGGTGGTGCAGGAGGCATTGTTGACTATCTTGGGA